AAGTTGCATCCGGCCACTCTAACGCATCATAACGCATTGGTGCATCATAAAAACCTACATGCTTGATCCGAACTTTCTTTCACTTATTGTTACCGAGATACCAGGTTTTTTAGGAAATGCGAAAACCGTCTTTTGAGCTTGGTAGGCGTATGGGTGGGTTTGGCCATATAATAGTCCCACTTAAAGATGCGCTGGCATCTAAAGATTATACATACTGAATTTTAACTTTCTAGCTCTAATAGTTCCCGATATTTAAGCGATTTTAGTTTTTCGTGATTTGTGGGCCTTAGAATGGGCGTGGAAAGTTGCTGAAATAAACTTGCGCTGTCCCGGGACGTCAAGAATCTTCATACATAATCTCAACTTTGTATCTGTTTAAGTTCCTAAGATATCAGCGTTCATAAGGACGGACGGACAGACGGACAAACGGACATGGCTCAATCGAGTTCGCTTTTGATCCTGATCAAGAATATATATACTTTATAGAGTCGGAAACCCTTCCTTCTACCTGTTACATACTTTTCAACCAATATAGTATACCCTTTTACTCTACGAGTAACGGGTAGAACCACAACGGGAACGGCAACAATTCCCTACCCCTTCAAAAATAAAGAGAACAAAAAATTCACGAGCTTTGTGAGTGCAAATTAAAACAAAAACGACTACGGCAGCGAAGACAGCGGCAACGAAGACAGCGGCAGCGAAGACAGCAGCAGCGAAGACATCGGCAATGAAGACAGCGGCAGCGAAGACAGCGGCAACGAAGACAGCAGCAGCGAAGACAGCGGCAGCGAAGACATCGGCAACGAATACAGCGGCAGCGAAGACAGCGGCAGCGAAGACAGCGGCATCGAAGACAGCAGCAGAGAAGATAGCGGCATCGGAGACAGCGGCAGCGACGGCCACAGCAACAATTAAAACATACGAAATGTGAGTAGGCTTTTTGTCTGAATTATCGCCAAACAAAGAAAATAAATCCGCGCCATTTAACTGTGGGAACATTACGAATTACCTTTTATACAATTTTAAGTAAAAATTTATTTCTCTCGAAAATAAAACCTTATGAATAAATTTTATTTTACCAATATTTAAATAAAACCAACAAGCTCTTACTTGAATTTGAAAAAAAAACACTTCAACATATTTTCTTGGTGTTTCGAAAAAAAATATTAAAAATAATTATAATTATTTAGCAGACTTCTAACTAAGATTCCCACTGCCGATGGACTAATTTTTTTTTAAAGAAAATTAAATAACGACCCCATGTACCGAAATAAAAAAGAAGACGAGTCAGACGACAAGGTTATGGCATAGGAAACTTTTAGACACAAAAATAGAAATACAGAAAGATCAGCAAGAACAAAAAACTGAGACTCATAACCAACCATCCACTAGCAGGGGGGCGTTTATTCGACCTAGTACCCTTAACACTACAAGCCCACAGCCGCTTAAAATGCAGCCAGAACAGATTGCAAGCATGGAGGCCGCAACAACCAGCGCACTCCAAAAACAACAAGAACTATTCGATAAAAAATTAGCTGCAGTTATGGGGGAGTTAAACTTACTCAAAACAAAAGATAGAACCCCACAAATTTAAACATATCAGGTAATCGAATTGAAGCTTGAAATACAGTGCAACGAACCCCTTGATTGCAAGTGGTCAAGCCGGTTCCAGAATTTGAGGGTAGGCGAAAAACTTTTTCTAAAAGCAAATAAAAGACTAGGTAACAAGCTCCCACCACTTTGTTCGTAGGAAACTATTGAAGCAGACCTGGGAACAACGGTATTAATTAGAGGGAGGGTGGTCCATAAAGACAACTTGCGCTAATCATCCTTTGCTAGACTACCGACAATTTTTTACACCTTTTTATATTTCTTACATTTTTTACATATTTTATATTTTTTATTTTCATCTATATTTTTCTATACTAGGAAAATACATTATAATCTGGACATTAACGGCTGCTAGGACAGACGGGACGGTGAAATTAAATGACTACACGAACTCAGACTACATCCCCATAGACGACGGTGACATCGTAGTCTGGGAATCTTTCCGATACTTACAACATGCAACGAACGTGACGACCTACGAGGGCTTCGCCGACCAGACAGAAGAACTAACACGAACATTCACCGACGACCACAGACTAACGGTTATAGCGACGGACATCAGACATATTCGCAAGATGGTAGCTACCCAAAAAATCCATCATAGGGCCGCTAGGAGTATAAACTTAATAGGAACAGTCTTAAAAGTTGTTGCAGGTACACCCGATTTTAATGATTGGGAACAAGTAAAATTCAACCAAGGGCAATTAATGAGAGCAGATGAAGGACAAACAGAATTAAATATCAAATTCCAAGAACGTTTAAATGAACTTTCGAGCGCTATGATCCAAATTAAAAAATTCGAGACAAATAAAGAAACACACCTTTAGAAAATCATTTTGGCTAAAAATAGAATTGTCATCACAGATATGGAAAACATTATAATGGGCTTAGCCCTAACAAAATTAAACATTGTAAGTCCGGCAATTCTAGATACTTCCGACATTGGCGAATTAAAAGACAATCTGCCTATTAATATTAGTTTGATAGAAATTTTAGATGTATCTAGTACTGTTTTTTTTAAAATTCCGACATCATTCATTTTCTCATTAAATTTCCTAACCCTAAGCTTGTTTGTAAGAAGATAACAGTCTATCCGGTCTAGCCCCACAACAGGGAACTCCAATATAACACTTGTGCTCAGCAATTGGTTTCTGGAGTTATTGCGCACTGTTTTACGCTCCCAGGTCACCTGGATGCACTAACTGCGGTAGACCACGGCACCCTCAAAGTCAACGAGGCCAACATGACCATAACCGATGACCAAGGACGAGACCAAAGGATATCTGGAACGTACCTGGTAACTTATTCAGACAGAATAAGCCTAAACGGAACTTGGTTCGTAAATCAGCTGGGAGACTCAATGAAAAAACCCTCTGTGTCGGCCATGACCATGGTCAACATCACGACACACCAAGCTCGGCTGAGCCTTCCGTTTCTGCACGAGCTGAGTCTAAGAAACCTCCACCATATTGGGACCCTTAGGGAAGAGCTTTCCTTGGGTTCCTTCGTCCTTCGTCAGCCCTACTCGGCTTCCTTCTGCTGTGCTCTACCATTTGGCTCAGCTACCACCACCTAAAGATCAAAGCCCACGCCAAATCAGGAATGACGATGACTTGGAACTATCGGGTCACCGGGACGGCGACCACTTAAAAGGAGGAGAAGATAACACACCCAGTTCCCAAATTGTGAAACTGCCGAGTTGCGGGCCTTATCCGGTGGCACGGAATAGGGAAACTGCCGACTCTGCACTCCGGGGACAATAACCCGGAGCCCGGACAGAAGTGGTCACTTGAGTGGTCAAACTTGAGCAGCGAGTGATAGTCAGCAAGCGGATATCAAATGCTGATCCGGCACTTAGGCGACAGCGCTGCGACCAGACGAAGTCTTCTAGCGGCAACCGGATCAGACCATTAGTTTAGTTTTTAATTCATACTCCGCAGCCGTAGCTGTGTAATAATCAAATATTGTAAAACCAATTATATTATACTTTACCTTAACAGGCTTAGGATAAATAAATGTGTGACAACTAAATATTGTACAACCAATTACACTATCGTTTACCTTAATAGGTTTAGGAAAATAAATAAGTTAAACATTAATCGATCGTTTTATTACTTAACGGATCCTTGCCTCAACGGGCTCGAGTGAAAGTGAGAAATAATTATGTAAAGGTCGGTACAAAAATAACTTATATTATAATCAAGAAAAAAGAATGAGAAGAAAATAAAAAATACAAAAAGTACTTCAGACTATATAACCTTATAACAAATTTTAGACAAATAATTAATAATTTCATCATATATTAAAAACTAAAAACAAGACACAAAAACAAAAACACTGAAAAAAGAAACAATAAAATAAACGCATTTTTTTCTTAAAGTAAATATCTGTTTTATTTATTTCAGTTAATATGAGAGCGCAAAATAATAGAATTTTATGTATGAATTTTAAATAATTTTATATTATTTTATTTTATTAATAAACAATTTTATTTAAATATGTAAGCTATTGGCAACATTTATTAAAAATGCATCGTCTTCATCTTTCAGTAAATTTAGATACTTAATTTCTAAGTCATCCACTTTTACATTGTTAAAGAGGTAGTCGTCGTCTGGAAAAACAATTTCTTCCTGGTCATCTACATGAATACTTTGACCACATTGAAAGTGTTCATACAAAAAATAATTTTCAAATACATTCCCACAGTCAGGAATAAACGAGTTTAATTCATGGGTTCATGATTTCTGTGCTAAAATATAGGAGCGATAAAATAAGATTTTTCTATTTGAATTTTAAATATTTTTCTTTTATTTTATTTTATGTGTATACAATTTTATTTAAATATGTAAGCTATCGGCAACATTTATTAAAAACTCATCGTCTTCATCTTTCAGTACATTTATATTCTGATTTTCCAAGTCATCCACTTTTACATCGTCAAATAGGTTGTCGTCGTCTGGAAAAAACAATTTCTTCCGGGTCATCTATATCAATCCTTTGAGCACATTGAAAGTGCTCATACAAAAACTGATTTTCAAATACATTCCCACAGTCAGGAATAAACAAAGAGATTAATTCATGGGTTCAAGATTTTTGTGCCAAAATATGGGAGCGAAAAAGTAAAAGATTTTTATATTTGAAGTTTAATTATTTTTATTTTATTATATTTGTATACAATTTTAATTAAATATGTAAGCTATTGGCAACATTTATTAAAAACTCATCGTCAAAGATTTTTATATTTGAATTTTAAATATTTTTATTGTAAACCCCTCAATTTTCATATTATGCGCCTTGGTGTGACCAGCTATTGTGAAGCTATCGATAAGAGACCGATCGTAGACGGAAGTTGGATTTTGAAAAACTGAATGGACGGTCACTTTGGATCTTAACGGAAGAGTAAAAAGGAAAAACAACGTGATTCGGATCGAGAAGAGAAAAATTGTTAGAAATAAAAGCCATCCGTTGATATTATTATTTAAAAGAACTATGAAGTTTACAAACCAGGTGTGGGGTTCGCCCAAAACATTATTTCGTCATGAAATACGCCGACATACTCAACCTGACAATGGAGGAGTTGTCCAACTGGCTTTCTGCGATGCACGTGCCGTTGACCGGGGAGGAGAACATTCACCAGTTGCGGGGAATGGTGAAAACAATGGTTGGAGACCAGGATGATGCCGCCTTGGTGGAAGCCGGAGAGCGGAACGACGACATTGGCGTGGCAGAGAGCGTGTCAGAGAGCAGAGCGGAGAACGTCGTGGGAAGGGAGTGCGAGCAGGAGGATCGAGGGCCATGCGAAATGGCTGAAATCATGAGGCAGATGACGCTATATACAGCACGAAAGGACCTCGTTAAGTTAAAGGCGAAGGTTGCCGCTTTGGAAGGCAATTCGCTGGACTGCAAGCCCGTTGTTGATGTCAGGGATCTTGAGGCTAGTTTGCGCAAATTTTCTGGAGACGATAACATGTCTGTGGACGTTTGGATTCGTGACCTCGAGCTTGCTGCAGTTACGCACGGATTAAGGAACTCTCAACGTTGGCTGTTGTGCAATCGGATGCTGGAGGGCTCGGCCCGCTCATACGTGATGTTCGAGAAACCCGCTACTTGGAAGGAGCTATGCGAAAGCCTACTAAAAACCTTCGGATTCCGGATGACCAATCACCAGGTGGCAAAGCAGTTACAGATTCTGGCGAACGAATCGTTGTTGCAGTGTTTTGTTGCGATGCGTCACATTGCGGAGCAAGGAACCTTCGAGGAAACAGACATCATAAAATACATTGTTGATGGTCTGCAGGACAATTCCAAATGCGCAGCGCCATTGTATTATTGCGCTTCCTTGGACGAGCTGCGCGAGAAGATGATCCGTTACCAGATGGTACAGCCTGAGAAGCCTGAGCCTACGTCCAGTTGCACCTCTGCTGCAGGTGCCTGCAAAAGAACCTACACATGCCGGAGGAGATGTTGCAAACGTAAGGTGCTTCAATTGCCGAGCGATGGGGCACTTCAGCAGCCAGTGCAAAAAACCGAAGCGCCCGGAGGTAGCTTGTTTTCATTGTTTCGAGACTGGACACCAATATCGGCGGTGCCCTAAGCGTGTGCGAACGGCTGCCCTCAGTACTTGTGACGGACAAGACGAGAAGGAAGACGACGACGACGCCGTTGGTGGGAATCCATACATTCAATTAGTAAGCATAAGAATACTTAGTGAAGAGGGATGCATTGATATTGATAACATTTTTGCGTTACTAGATACCGGAAGCCCCGTGAGTTTTATTAGCAGAGGAGTTATTCCACAAGCAGTAAAGGACGAACACCTAGTAAAGAGCAGTTTTCGCGGCCTAAGCGGCCAAAATATTTTGACATTTGGAAAAATTAAGATTGTACTTTTGTTTCAAGAAGAATATTACAGTATTGAAGCTTTTGTTATTCCTAATTTTATTTTACCTACGCCTATACTTCTAGGCAGAGATGTACTAAAACTCTTATCACTTAAATTAGTCAAACGCAAAAATGTTATGAAAACAGATCTGAATAAGTTATCATTAAATAAAACCATTGCATTATCTACCGATTTAATTTGTGCATCCCTATTTTTTAGTACATATAAGTTAGATAACAACATAATGACAAGAAGAGAAAATTATTTACGTGTAAACGCACCTGCAACTCCGACAAAGCCTCAGATCTTTCAGGAATGGATGCAAGATTTCGCGAATTGTAGGGTATCGAATGAAGATGACGTAGTTAAAGTAGGCGGTGAGTTTGGAGGTGCCTTAATGCGAGAGTGTCGCGAAATAGTATATAAACAATACATTGATAGGTTTTCTAAAAGTTATGGTGTGCCAAAATGCAAAATGTGCATTCGTCTTACTGATTCTACACCATTTTATTGTGCCCCTAGAAGGTTGTCATATCGTGAGAGAGAAATAGTTTCCGAAACCGTCAATAGAATCATCCGACCTAGTAACTTGCCATATTCCTCAGCGGTGGTTTTAGTTAGGAAAAAAGATGGAAAGGTGAGAATGTGTGTCGATTACCGTGGATTGAATAAGAAGACCGCTAGAGATAATTTTCCGTTACCCCTTATTGAAGACTGTTTAGAATGCCTTGAAGGTAAATCCGTGTTCTGCGTTATTAACCTTAAGAGTGGCTTTCACCACATAGGTGTTGAAGAAGAATCTGTAAAATATACCGCCTTCGTGACTCCGGACGGGCAGTTAGAATACTTGAGGATGCCTTTTGGACTTAAAAATGGACCCGCTGTTTTCCAAAGATTTATTTCCGACGCCTTGACAGACTTTGTAAGAAACTTACAGATCGTTGTTTATATGGATGATATTATTTTAGCATCGTATTCCGTAGAAGAGCATAAAAAGATATTAGCTGGGTTGTTAGATCGACTCGTGGAGTTTAACCTTGAGATAAATTTTAAGAAAAGTAGTTTCCTGCAGAAGCGAATAGATTACCTAGGTTATGATGATAGTGTTCAAGGAATTCTGCCTAATGATACACACTTAACTGCTATAAAACAATATCCGGAACCAATTAATAGCAAGAAGTTACATCCTGCCTTAGTTTATTTTCTTATTTTAGGAAGTTCGTTCCCAATTTTGCGCGTGTAGCAAAGCCTTTGACTGACCTTCTTAAAAAAGGGGGACCGTTTCCCATGTCGGATTCCGAAAAAAGAGCATTCCTGCAGGTAAGGACAGCATTGTCGAGTCCTCCCGTCCTATAAATCTTCAATCCGCAGTATGAAACCGAATTGCACACGGACGCAGGTTCCCACGGGTTTGGTGCTGTTTTGATGCAGCGACAGCCGGATAAGAAACTACACCCTGTTTTCTTCTACTCGAGAAAGGCCACTGCAGCCGAGTCTCAATCATATACGCCTTGCGCCGTTTCCGAATGTACTTAGAGCATAAAGCCTTTTTAATAGTGACCGACTGTAGTTCCTTAGTACAAACATTAAGTAAAAAGTCTAAAAATCCCTGTATTGCCCGTTGGTCCCTTGAGTTAGAAAGTTTCAATTATTCGATAGCCCATTAGCTAGCAAACATGGCCCATGTAGATATGCTTAGTAGGCAAACAGAGATGCTGAGAGAAGTGGAAGGAATTTCTGATCCGTGTCCGATTCTGTCAAGAGATGTTGCAGCTTTTGGACCTTGCAGCCCTATTAAATCTTGTGCTTCCTTTAAGCCTTGTGGCCCTACTGCACCTTGTGTAGTTTCTGACCCTGGAAAATCTTGTGAGCCTTTTAAAATTGATGACCCTTGTAAACCTTGCGAACCTAGAGGACCTTGTGAACCTATTGAACCATGTGAACCTTTAAGCCGTGTGAAGCTTTTATAAATTGTCGATCTACTGATTCTTGCGAACCTCGGAAACATGATGTACTTTGTGGTCCTGAGAAACGTGTTAAATCCGTTAGGTTTGCCCCTGAGGTTGAAGAGATTGTTGGAATTGTAGGCGCATACCCGTATGATATTGATTTGCTTTTGCAGACCGAACAGATAAGAGATCCGGAAATCCGTCGAGTGCGAAGGAAGTTAGAGATGGGTGAAATTGAGAATTTCGTGTTGTTAGATGGGATAGTGCATAGAGCGAAGGATAGTGACAAACTGTGTATGTATGTTCCGAGCCGAATGCAAGAAGAACTAATTAATTACATGAGAAGTTGGGCCATTTTGCGACCGATAAGTGTGTGAATAAACTGAGAGAAAAATATTGGTTTCCGGTGTGAGGAGTAAGGTCGATCTATTTATAAAGAACTGTTTACCGTGCATTCTACAGCACCGGTCCCGTTCGATACAATCCATATCGACCACCTAGACCCCCTCCCGTCTATTAACTCAAAGAGAAAGCTCTTGTTGGTGATCATTGATGCGTTCACAAAATTCGTTAAATTATATCCCGTAAATTCCACCAGTACTAAAGAAGTTAATTGCTCTTTAAAAACAATATTTCGAATATTATAGCCGGCCTCGCAGAATCATCTCCGATAGAGGCACCTGTTTTACTTTTGAGTTTAAAGAATTCCTTGAGTGTAGAAATATTGATCATATTAAAGTAGCCACGGCGGCTCTGCAGGCAAATGGGCAAGTCGAGCGTGTGAACCGTGATCTGACACCGATGTTGGGAAAGCTATCAGAGCCTTTGATTCAGGCCGATTGGTATAAATTGCTTAACCGTGTTGAAGTCGCTATAAACAACTTCGTTCAGTATAGTACCGGAAAGACCCCTAGTTCCTTGTTATTTGGTTGTGATTAACGTGGGCCAGTGGTTGATGAGCTCACCGAGTATTTGGTAGAAAAATTTGATCAGGAGAAACCGCGATGTTTGGATACAGTAAGGGACGAAGCACTTGAGAATATATGTCAATCACAGGTCCGAAATGAAACCGCATACGGCTTAAGGCATAAGGCACCTACGTTGTACAAGGTCGATGATTTTGTTGCTATTCGTAATGTGGATGTGACTTCAGGGGATTGTAAGAAGTTTGCACCCAAGTATCGTGGCCCATATAGAGTAAACCGTGTTTTTCCGAATGACCGTTATGAAATTACAGATATAGACAATTATCAGCTTACGCAACTCGCATATAAGGGAATCCTTGAGGCTGCTAGGCTAAAACCGTGGTTGCAGGTGTGTAATAAAACCATAGGAATGTGTATTCCCGAATGTAAACCCCTCAATTTTCATATTATGCGACTTGGTGTGACCAGCTATTGTGGAGCTATCGATAAGAGACCGATCGTAGACGGAAGTTGGATTTTGAAAAACTGAATGGACGGTCACTTTGCATCTTAACGGAAGAGAAAAAAGGAAAAACAACGTGATTCGGATCGAGAAGAGAAAAATTGTTAGTAATAAAAGCCATCCGTTGAAAATATTTTTTAAAAGAACTAAGAAGTTTACATTATTTTATTATAATTGTATACAATTTTATTTAAATATGTAAGCTATTGGCAACATTTATTAAAAACTCATCGTCTTCATCTTTTAGTAAATTTAGATACTTAATTTCTAAGTCATCCACTTTTACATTGTCAAAGAGGTAGTCGTCGTCTGGAAAAACAATTGCTTCCTGGTCATCTATATCAATCCTTTGAGCACATTGAAAGTGCTCATACAAAAACTGATTTTCAAATACATTCCCACATGATTTCTGTGCTAAAATATAGGAGCGACAAAATAAGATTTTTATATTTGAATTTCAAATATTTTTCTTTTATTTTATTTTATGTGTATACAATTTTATTTAAATATGTAAGCTATTGGAAAAGTTTATTAAAAACTCTTCGTCTTCATCTTTCAGTAAATTTAGATACTTAATTTCTAAGTCATCCACTTTTACATCGTCAAATAGGTTGTCGTCGTCTGGAAAAACAATTTCTTCCGGGTCAACTATATCAATCCTTTGAGCACATTGAAAGTGCTCACACAAAAACTCACTTCCAAATACATCCATCGTTTCATCTCCAAATGGAAAATCTTCCCATTTGAGTGATTCCAACTCTTGTGGAATTGTTTGAGTAGATGATGAGGAGGGTGCGAATACTTCCCTCACATTCCTGTCAATGGTGTTTTCTTCGTCTAGAGCCATTATACAGTTTGGCTCCGAGTCTTCAATGAACACCACATTGGAGTCCTGGTCAAGGATTTCGACATCCGCCAAGAATTCCAAAGCTTGAACTGAATCGATGAATTCCACGGATATTACGCTGATGGTGATATGTATGATTTAATGCTCCTGACGAACTGATGCTGAGCAATTAGACTGTTCTCATTTTTATACATAAAGGGCATACAGATTTGTTATACTCCTACACCCATTTGACAATTTCATCATGATGTGTCCATGGATTCATATCGTTTTTTATATTGTCTGTATCCCCTTGTCTTGAAAAAATCTTAAAAAGTCTGAAATTTTAATAAACAACTTGAAACTTTCGTCAAGACGTTCCTAATCCTCCTAAGTCAGGAATATTAAAAAAGTTTATTTACAAATCAGATGCATGAGTGTGAAGTGACCCTTTATTAGGATAATCAACTTCAACGGGTGCCAATATCGGAAGAAGCTTAACACAGCTACCCAACTTTTTCACCAACTGTAAAATTCAAAAGACAAAATTTCCTCTACGGTGTTCCCTAAATAATTTGTTTAAGCTATTTGTAATATTGGAAAAACTCTAATTACGAAGTATATTATGTAACTATAACGTATGTTTAAGCTTCAGTAATAAATAAATAGTGGAACCTACAAGTTGTCTTATACAATGGAGCCATTCAAGGGTTTGTTTGATAATGATACGCGCAAAAGGGGATACACACTACAGATTTATTGTA